GTATTCTAACAACTCGATCAACGTAAAGGACTGTCTAATGGAACATCTGTTGTCCCTTATATTAATCATTGGTCTCCCAATAGACCTGGTTTACTTAATCCTTATCTTCACAGTCAATATCAAACTGCGGACAGCCATCAGATATGATATGGTTGACATGAGCTTCTTGAAACCCATCAATACTGAAAGAGTGGACAGACAAGGGTGATTTGACATGCAGCTTCCAAAAAATCAAATCGTGCTATTCCAGCCTAAAGCGATTCAAATAGTTAAACCTTTCTGAGGTCACCGGCTTTTCATAAACTTAACAGAGTGTAATCTATGTATGTTACTGAAAGAAGGCTCAGGCACAGGACAATTAGCAGAGTAATCATACCTTAATTTCTCCACCACAAATGACCCGACTTCGCCACAAACATTGTCTGATCCCCTAATTGTCTTTTTATATTTACTCATCTTTTTAAGGAACATCATTTTATACCACCAAGAACACACACCATATTTGACATATGTGACACATAGGAAAAATTCACAGTTCTTTCAACGAAAAGCTTGTTATATGTGTCATTTGGTCTAAGCCGAGTAACAGCCCAAGCTCCCAACTTCGGGGAGCTTTGGGGAAATTTCGGGGAAATCCCCAAAGTGAAACAGCCTTCGCCAAAGTTTTGGAAAATTTTGAGCAATGAAAATCGTCGTGTAAATGAATAATGTGTCATTTTAATAACTATAATAAACATTTAAATATGTCAAAAACCAGTCTTTTGATGAAAGCCATAAATCGATTAACGTTAAATTTCTTAGGCAACACGTAATTGTCGAAAAATAATGTAACATCCCAGTAAGGAATGTACGTATGTATTCTCGCTAGGTTTTCCGTGATGTCCGCAGATTGCAGTATAAGTTTTGCGTTAAAACGGTTCTGTGGAAGTACCCCAAAGTTCGGGGAAAATACGCTGGAGTTAGGGGAAATTTTGGGGTTTTTGTGCCATTTCCCCGAAATTTCCCCAAAGTTTACCATAGTGGCTTCCCAAAATACGTAAAATTTTCCCCAAAGTTGGGAGTCGCAAGGCATGCCTAGCACGGCGCACCCACTAGTGCAAGTGCATAACCGGGCGTTTTCAGCTAGGTGTGTCCAGTAAAGCTAATGAGTTCAGCGTCAATGTTGAGGACTATCATAACTAATTATTTTGGGGATTTATTTACCACTGCAGTCACATTTAAGACACTGAACTGAAAAGGAAACGTAGTTCACTAATGTAGATGACCTATGTGGATGATGATGAGGCTGATCGGATTAGACGAAAGTGAAGTGAGCTCTCAGCCTACGTCGAAATCATGTCTGACGGTTATAATTCAAGGTGGATTACCGTTTCCTCGTGTCCGAGTGCTAAGTTTACTTTGATGACCATACATAACAAACGTAACGTTGTTGCAGAAATGTGTCATTAAGAAGATGCCACAGGTATTTTGAGTTTGACAACGCTTTAACCAGTAACATCATTTACTACAAATCGTACCCACCAAGTGAAATCAAAAGACAGAAGCGAGGAGGTTCGAAGATATATTTGATAGGCTATCAATATATCAAGGATCGACTGATTTAGACTGGCAAGTGATTGCAGGGGATGTTAAGAACAGCGTTCCCACTCGTGATCTGGTGCGGATGCATGACCAAGCGCCTTCAGCTAGGTGAGTCCACTAAAACTAATGTGGACAGCATCCAATGTCTAAAACTTGCAGAGCTATTTATTTTGGGCATTTATTTGCCGCTACAAATGCATGGGTTCAAATCGGAAGACACACGTTGTCTGTTTTCAACCCCGACGATGATTGGCAAATTGTTCAGTGATGAGTGACCCGCCCTCCGTATGGTTGGTATAGGACCCAGTATCGCTTGACTGGCGCTACTAAACGATTAGGTATTAGTCATACTTGACGGAGATTCATGGAAAATTCCATATTGATTCGCGGGTAAATAAAAAAACACAACTTACAGTTTACAAGAACTGAATTAAATCTGTCGGGGTGTTTTAAGTGATTGAAACGGTTTTTTGATAAGCATAATGACGAGTAAGATAGAAAGTCTCAATAATGAATCAACAAGAGATGTAATTTAAATTACACTTGCGTACAGTGAACACAATCAGTTAAACATGAGTTCCGACGAAGGACAAGCTAGCGCCCAGCAGGACACTTAGTGGTTTGCATGCAGCAGATCTAACCCTTCAACACAAAGCTATTCAAAAACCATTACATGATGCTACTATAATTAACCGCTTCCGACCTAATTTTTGAATTATCGAGGCTGCCGCACCAATGATTTTGTGATTATTTGACCTTCAAGTGCTCAGCGTCTTCGACTGTGTTGGGTGCTGTTGAATTTTTACTGTTACCACGTATGTTTTTTGACGTTGTGTGTCGGACATTTTCCACTTGATTTTTTGTTTCTATTAGTTTATTCATGTTACATTTTACTGATCAAGGCAGACTTCATTTCACATTTTCACTAATTGCGATATTACACTCAATAATTCAGCTGAATTATGCAGTCTAGACTACATCCTAAATCCACGAATTCAGAAACAGTTGAATCTTTTTGGTAAACATCATAGATCAGAAGCAAGTCCGCCACGTAAACTGCGACTTTAGAAGTCCTTGTTAACTTACAACACACTATAACTGAAATTCGCGATTCACGTTTGTGCTATTACCGCAGGTTGGAGTTCTATGTTTTTCGAATCCGGACAGACCTTGCCCATACTGCAATGTGGTGCAGGTTAAAAAAAGTCAGCTATGCTGCGTGAATTCGTGCCAGAATTTTGTCAGACACAATCCCACCAAGATGTATGAGACTTCCAATATAAGTAAAGTTGCCAACGCGTTCAACTGCTCCACCCCATACCATTAGTCTCGGCGTTGATACAGATCAGTTTTGAGTTGATATTTCAAGTTTAGAAGATTAGTAATATATCTCAAACATGTTTACATAATTGCTCAAGGCAATTGAAAGGCTGCATTTTATCAGCATCTTCACCAAGTAGGACATGTCGTCTGAATGTTCAAACTCAGTAAGTGAATCTCCCACCTGGAGATCACTCTAAAATTTCTTTATATGAATATTAGTGAAAATTGTTTTGCCGAATATGTATGTAGTGACACCCCATTATTTTCAGTCTTCCAGAATACCCTGTCGATAGGGCTTGGTAACTCCTGTTTTCAGCTAGTTCTCAACGTCCGTTTAACAGATGATGGTGACTTGATGTCAGTAAACTTATGGCGAAATATCCCGTTCTCTGTTTTATTACGCAAATTACGCATATATGTGCTCACAGAGAAGTCAAATCGATGTCTTATCTATTGGTAACAATTGGTTCTCTAAGTTCAGAATGGTAACTAATTGATGATGGCAAACAGTGTGCAACTCAGTAATAACTGATCACAAAAGAATACCGACTGACTTTGTTCACTTACTATAACTGGTTTAATAGCAGGGTTTACTAGAATTTTTATATAGGATGTGGTTGCGGATTATCCATGATGCGTTCGTGTGTTATGCAGATATTTCTCAACTCCAACTTCGGTACCGTCAATATCTTCCTTTCCCCTCTAGCTGCCGCAAAAAGACCAGTTTGTTAACGGGAACTTCGCTGATGATCCCAGTAGAATTTTAGACAAATTCAAGTTAATTGATTACATATCAGTTGCAATGGTTAGGATTTATAAACTGAGTATCTATTTCCAAGAATAAATAAGCGCAAAAAATATGCTAAAAGTTCATACAGAATCATCTGATGTAACGAAATTAATCTAAATCGATACTTATATCTGCACTCATAAATAGTATTTAGGAAACACACATCCCAAACAACTTGGTAAATTCATCACAGACTAGTTTTATACATTGCCCATCCATTCGTTCACATTCAGTGTACTAAAATGCATGTATATTTCTTTCATAATAATGGTCTACTAAAATAAACAAAAGTACTCTTATCAACCCACTTATAAACCACTTAAAAATGGTACATATTTGCATCAGTTCATGTTACTACATCATATCAGCTCGAGATAAAGTTACCAGGTACTTGGTATCATTTATGTAAGCGCCTATTATAATAATTAATTTCTACACAGATAGAAGCATTCATAGCAATGTTTCCCCTTGAGTGATAGGCGGTACTGATTTCAACATCAGCTAACGCTCCCGTGACCATTGAAATACTGGGATTATTATGTTTCTTCCCTAAGAATAGAAGATAGATAGTCGAAACTAATTCTACAAAGTGACTCCATTTTTTGTTAAAAAATCCCATAGTTGCATGATCGACAAATTAGCCATTGTGATGCCTGTAGTATCATCAAGATGACTGGTGGATAAAAGCTTTGAGTATAATCAGTTATGACTAATAAAACATTGAAGCGATTTCTTGATCAAGCAGAGCGTATGAGTTAAAAATATGTTGTCATGGTCACTTATGGATTTGTTACTTGAGGAATTTTAGTCATATTATTAAAGGCGTGAAAGAATACCATGATTAGGAATTTCAAGCTTGTGGAATCTATTTGCACAAGTCGTTTACTTACTAAGGTGAGAGTCAAGTAAATCTGTGGCCTAAATTAACAATCTTAAGTCAGGGAGGTATGCACCACAGGACCAGAACCTCCCCATATATATATATATATATATATATATATATATATATATATATATATATATATATTCCATACAACTTAGTAATATGTAGGTTTTTATTTTTACCTCGGATTATTATGTGCATACTTCCTGTCAGTCAGCTACAACGTAGGACCAGGCACATATGTGCATCGGTTCAAGTTGAGTACCTCACAATTCCCGTACATTTTGGTGTTTGCTGTTTCTGCGTGATATCAATCGATCTAGTTCAAATCATGTATCTTTATCCTCATTACAGATCTTCTGGTACCACTGTAAACACACAGCTTTTCGTGGATTTAATTACAGCAAAATGGGTCTGCCTGTTGTTCTATTCGTAATGTATGGATACAAGATGACTTTATTCCTTGCTGTATTTGTGTTTTTGTGGTGCATGTATATTTGGGAAACATACTTGAGTATTCGTCAAAGAAGAAAAATTGTTGACACAAGAACAGTACCTATTGAACTAGCAAGTGTTATGGATAATGATAAATTTCAAAAATCACGTCTTTATGCGATTGATCGATCAAGCTTTGGTCTAGTCAGTGGGTTATATCATATGATAGAGCTATCAGTGACATTGTACTTCTCATTGATACCATGGTTGTGGTATACAGTTGTTAACCACAGCACCATCTTAAATACCTATGTGCTACATAAAGTTGGTGTCGATATGGGTTTTGATAAAGATAGCGAGATAAAATGTTCCGTCATTTTTTTCCTGTATGTAGCTGTATTTGTATTTTTCGACTCACTCCCTTGGACGATTTACAGCACATTCGTAATAGAAGCACGCCATGGATTTAACAAGCAAACTTTTGGTTTTTTTATTAAAGACCAAATCAAGTCGCTTTTGATTTCGATGATTATTGGCATTCCAATAATGTCTTGCTTAGTATGGATAATCAAAGTTGGTGGACATTATTTCTACTTGTATGCTTTTTTATTCACAGTCGTGGTCACTGTGTTTCTAATGTTTGTGTATCCAGAGTTTATTGCCCCATTATTTGATCGTTATGAACCGTTACCCGATGGATCTTTAAAGACGAAAATTGAAACATTAGCTGCGTCTATCAAGTTTCCTTTGAAAAAGCTCTTAGTTGTTGAAGGATCACGACGTTCTGCTCATAGTAATGCATATTTCTATGGCTTTGGTAAGAACAAAAGGATTGTAATTTTTGATACGCTTATTCGTGGTTTCAAATTTCCAAATAAAAACGAAGATCTATCGAAGCAGGAAACTAAAAATGACTCAGACCAACGAGGCTGTGCAGTTGATGAAGAAATTTTGTCAGTGATCGCTCATGAGTTAGGACATTGGAAACTAGGGCATACAATTTACAATCTTTTCATCGGAAAGGCAAATCTCTTGATGTTGTTTGTAATATTTGGCCTTCTGATGGATGTAGATGATTTGTTTATTTCTTTTGGTTTTAAAAGTAACGATACACCAGTAATACTGAGACTGTTTATTATATTTCAGTACATTTTCTCTCCGTATAATACGGTTATCGACTTTCTAATGACAGTCTTGTCTAGGAAATTTGAATTCCAGGCAGATGCCTTTGCTGCTAAATTGGGTTATAAACAGTATTTAAAATCTGCCTTGGTAATTCTATTAAAAGACAATTTATCATTTCCTGTCTGTGATTGGTTGTATTCAATGTTTAACCATTCCCATCCACCACTTCTTGAGCGTTTGAGTGCAATTGACAAGTGTAAATCTGACTAAATTATGTTGTCTTTCCATTCACATTTGTTTTATTCGGCCTCTATTGGTTGAATATTGTTTGGCATTCAGCGTTTGTTGTTCACTTTTGCAAACTTTTATCAGTGTTTGTAAGTAAGATGTTTTTTCATCATATAAATTTACTTTAAAAGCCAAACCGTACTTCTCTTTAAAAACGACCTAACATAATCAGGTTGGGGAATCTCTTTTTCCTATGATGTGTTGCAGCGTAAGGGGTATCCGAAGAAAGCTTATGTTTAGATTAATACTTGCGAATAAGTTTTTCCAATTTTAATATTTACATAACTTAGGTGTTGTAATCATACTCTGATTCGATTTTCGGTTCATATAACCGGTTTTTTAAGGACCGTTCGTCACTTATTTAGGCCTGTTACCCCTCATGGAGGAGTATAGGCCGCCCACCAGAAGTCCATCCAATTCTGTTCTGAGCAACCCTTTTCAGTTGCTATCCATTCTTTCAATGTCTGATTCCAATTCTCGGCACAGTATGTTTTTTGATCTTCCTCTTTCCCGTTTCTCTTCAGGATTACAAGTTAGCACTTGCTTCGTCATGCAGTTTGATGATCTCCGTAATGTATATCTTATCCGCTTCCAATGTCTTTTCCTAATTTCCTCTTCATCTGGAAGCTGGTTTGTTCTCTCACAGTATCCTGTTGTTGATGGTATTTAACCAAAAGATATTGAGTATCTTGAGTAGACAACTGTTTATAATTACCTATACAGTTTTGATGGTTGTAGTGGTTCTCCAAGTTTCGTCTCCGTACAGTAGAACTGTCTTGACGTTCGATGTTGACTGACGGTTGAGTTGCATATGTTCTTCAGTTGTAGGAATGCCGCCCTTGCTTTGCCAATCTTTACCTTTACGTCTGTATAAGATTCTCTTTATTCATCGATTATGCTGTTCAGGTACATGAAAGTTTCCATCTCTTCCAGAGTCTCTCCAAGTGTGGTTGGTTTGGTGTTCTCCTTGTTATATTTGAGCATCTTGCTTTTTCCATTTTGTATGTTCAAGTCTACTGATGCATATGCTTCTGCTACACTAAATATCTTCATCTGCGTCTGTTGGTATGTATGCAAGAGAAGGCTAACTAATCTGCGAAGTCCAAATCGTCTAGTTGTATGCAAGCTGTCCATTGTATTCCGAGCTGTGGAGGTCTTCATAATCCAGTCAACCACTAGAAGAAAGAGAAAAGGCGAGAGTAAGTAGCATTGTCTAACACCGGTCCTCACTTGGAATGCGTTTGTCAGCTGTCCTCCATGCACGACTTGGAAGTTTAGTACGTCGTATGAATTCCGGATGACAGTCTTAGGTACACCATAGTGTCGAAAGTTCCACAAGGTTCTATCCAAACCGTCAAACGCCTCCTCACAGTGAAGGATGTTAATGTACAGTGATGAGTTCCATCCAATTGATTGTTCAACGATGATCCGCAGTGTTGCTATTTTTAACGGAATCCGGCTCGTTGGTCTCGAAGCTGGATGCCTACTGAATGTTTTGTGCGGTTGAGCAACACTGTTGAAAACTTTTCCTGGTACCGACAGTAGTGTGATGCTTCTATAGTTTTCACATTTGCTCAGATCTTTCTTTGGTGTTTTGATGAGGTGTCCTTCTTTTCAGTCCGTCGCCACTTGTTCGTCTTTCCAAAGCTTCTTGAACAGAACGTGGAGTATCGTTGCAGTTGCTTCTCTGTCCGACTTCAGTGCTTTGTTTGATATACTCCCATGTCCTGCTTTCCCATTCTTCATTTGTCTGATGGCTATCCTGATTTCTTCGATCGATGGTAAAGTGACATCAATAGGAAGGCTGTATGTGTTGCTTCGATATCCGGTGGATTCAATGGGATTTTTCTATTCAAGAGTTCCTCGAAGTGTTCCATCCATCTGTTCCTCTGTTCTTGAATCTCAGTGATTGGTTTTTCTTCTTTGTCCCTGGTCGGTCTCTCTGGTTTACCATATTTACCTGCCAGTTTCTTCATCTTGTCACATAGTTGTTTCATATTTCCTTCCGTTGCAGCTTTCCCACTGTCTTTTCTAGGTCAGCTCTAGTGCTCCTCTTCACTCTTGTTTACTCCTATGTATTCGACGTGTGCCTCAACTTTCTCTGTTCTTGTTCGTTTGTTGTTAATTGCTGTCTTCTTGTTCTTCCTTTGTTGAATCTTGTCTAGGGCTTCGATAGAGATCCATTCCTTATGATGATGATCCTTACGGCCCAGAACCTCCTAACACGTTGAAGTTAGTGCTTCTTTGATCTCTTTCCATATGTCCTCCACAATAGTTTCTTCTTCCCTGAATAGATTTTGTAAGGCTTAGAACCTTTTGTTGAGAGCTATCTTGAATTGGTTGAGTTGGACAGTATTTTGAAGGAAGGCTGTATTGAACCTTCATGTTGCTTATTTAACTTCATTTTCATCTTGGTGATCTGAAGCTATGCCAGCTCCTCTTCTGGTTCTCACGTCTTCCATTGATCCGGATTTTTTACTGATGTAAATATGATCGATCTGATTCTCTGTAGTGTGGTCCGGTGAAACCCATTTGGTTTTGTGTATGCGTTTGTGGAAGGATATTGTGCCACCTATAATCATGTTGTTAAAAACACGTGAATTTGCGGATCTTAAACCATTCTCGCTCCTTTCTTCCAGTCCATGTCATCCCATAATATCTTCATATTCGGTATTCTCCTTACCGACATTTGCGTGTAGGTCTCACATCAGGATGGTCAGTTCATTTCCTGAGTAATTCACTACGATCGATTGTAGTCTCTCGTTGAACTGATCTTGATCATCGTCATTGCTATCATTGGTGGGTGCATAACACTGGATGACATTCATTGTGATCCCCTTTGTTTTGAATCATGCCTTGATGACTCTGGATCCATGGGATTCCCATCATATAAGTGCATTACGTGCTTTGACCAGCAATAGAGCAACCTCGTGTGCGGAGCATTTTCTTCGTGACCAGAGTATAGCAGCATCTCTCCGGGATCTAATCTTTCCTATCCAGCTTGGGTTCAATGTGTTTCACTTATTCCGAACACCATCGAGTTGTATCTCGCCATTTCCGCAGCTGTTTTCTTGGTCCTCTCGGTCTTCCACATTATCCGGACATTCCATATAGCTATATTAATTATTGCTATGGTTGTTAGAAGGGGTATGGATCTCGTGACTTCCGAAGAATCTCGGTTTTCATCATTAAGTGTCATAATTCTTCCTTGAACTCGGAGGGTAGAGTTTAAATTGTTTATTCTGGTTATCGCTTTTTAACAAGATTGTTTTCTACGTGATGGGGTTGCTGACCCTATACACAACCATCTTTACCCGGGCTTGGGACCGACAGTAACCCTAGAAGATCTATATGCGAAGTTAAGGGTCGTTAGGTATTGTATTCAAAGAGTCGTGTGGTCTGAGTGCAAACTATCAGTAAACCCATCAACTCAAACCTCTCGATATATGAATAGTGGTATTTCGCACATTATTGGTGCACACAATTTTTTTTTAAATGGGATTAATTAAAATAGATTTTATTACCAAACTAGTCGCCACAAACCCAAATCCTTAATTTAATGGAACAGAAAGTACGTAGATTATATAAATACATCACTTGCATCCTTTCATTATTACAAACGTACAGAGTTAGATTATGAATTCAACAAACTAAAATTTTCCCGAGTTGATCTGTGTCAGCGTAATAAGTTGAAAGCGTGTTCAATTGTACGATTATATACTAAGTAGTTTTCTAGAGAAAAATAACCAGTTAAACCTTCGTCTTCATGCATTGAGTTAAAAGACTTCTAACCACTAATTGGTTCTACAGTAAAGAATATAAAAGGTTTAACTTGGTAGGTTGTTTCTCATAGTTCTTACAGTTTCTTTGCCAATGTTATCCGACTCGCTTTTTTGTGTAGTTCAGTGTTCCTTATACAAAATTTAGGAATTTCAGAGGACTGTATGGTACTTTCCATTCTGATTATCTGTAGTATAAGCCACTTCCCCTCATTTAGATCTTCTTAGTTATTAGTCAACTCTTGCTTAATGGTGAAGTCGCTCAAAGTTCGTAGTATTTAATATTCATATTCAATGTAGGGGATTACTCGCTGTTTCTATATGAAGTTGGCTCGAAGAAGTAAAAGGTACAGTTATAAATTCTATACATTTTGAGTACATATTGTTACTGTATTTGTTGAGAAAACTATGAACCAGCTTGTTCACCAAATACCAGGATGGTATTTGGGTGGCCTGCGTCTATGGGAATCTCTATGTAGAAAATAAATCCATCATAATGGTGACGGAAGTAAGTAAATACTAGATATATTTCTCACAAATTAACTTAACCAATGATTTATGTTACTGTTTGTTCACATCTTGATTTTTTCGCGTATTATGATGCTGAATGATCGCCTTATCTTCCGAACACGCATACTAAAAGAAGCTGACAAAGGACTGTTTACTGATCAGTTAAAGTCCAACAATTCGCTAAACTTATTGGCCAGATGTCAATTTAAACACAAAGTTGTAAAATGAAGGATTTCGTAGGTTACCAGCACTGATTGTTGATCCTTGTCAATTGTACCACTAAACTAAACCCATTTTAATTCATTATGTGGTCACTGTAAACTGGACCTAATGATCGTTTTTCCACTTGTTAACCTTCAGTTCTGTTTGGATATTGGGATTGGGTTGGGGTTCACATATCCATCGTTAGGAGATTGCATGTGTCTGCTACAGCAAAAAAGAGAAGAACGGAAGTACTTTATCATCGGACGTCAGATAATTTTGGGGTGAATATAATGTTCCCTTGAACTGTCACAATCGCTAGTGATATGGAACTCAAGATTTAGTTCTCTTAATGGGTATAGTGAGATTATGTAGCTAGAATTCAGTCATCTACATTTTGTAATGGGAAAAGTTGTATTTTTGCCGGCATTCACCATACAATTAGTAACTTAACGAGGATATCCGTCTCCGGCGGTAAGGTCTCAACAAGTACGGAGCTAACACAAAAATTACTCATAAAATGGTCGTGCGTGACCGACCTCAAGCAGCTGTCCCTTGGGCACTGCGGTCACGCTCTCAGGTCACTAAGACCACCTCTAATCCAATTTCCTTTCCAGGCACCTCAAGCAGAACCCTTCCACGGC